ATAGTGAAAGTTTTACCTCTTTCTGACAGATTTAGATGTCTTCTCTTTCTTTTTCTTGTCTAATTGCCGTGGCTAAGACTTCCAGTTCTATATTGAATAAATATAATGAGACTCACCATCCTTGTCTTATTTTTGATCTTAGGGGAAAAGCTCTCAGTTTTTCACCATTGTGAATGATGTTAGTTGTGGGGTTTTCATATATGGCTTTTATTATGTTGAGGTATGTTCCTTCTAAACCTACTTTGTTGGGAGTTTTTATCATGAATGGATATTGTACTTTGTCAAATGTTTTTTCTCTGTCACTTGAGATTATTACATGTTTTTTATCCTTTCTGTTGTTAATGTGTTGTATCACATTGACTTATTTGTGAATATTGAACCACCTTTGCATCCTGGGAATAAATCCTGCTTGATTGTAGTGAATGATTTTTAAATGTATTGTTGGATTTGACTTTCTAATATTTTATTAAGGATTTTTGCATCTATAGTCTTTAGAGAAATAGGCCTGTAGTGTTTTGTTTTTTTTATTGTTTTTGTTGTATTGTGTCTTTATCAAGGTGATGTCATAGACTGAATTTGGAATCTTTCCTTTCCCTTCTACTTTTTGAAATAGTTTGGGAAAAGTAGGTATTCATTCTTCAAATGTGTGGTAGGATTCACCTGTAAAGTCAACTGCTTCTGGACTTCTGTTTGTTGGTAGGTTTTTTTGTTTGGTTGGTTGTTTGTTTTAATTACTGATTTAATTTCATTGCTGGTAATCAGTCTGTTCAAATTTTGTTATTTCTTCCTGCTTCAATTTTGGTAGGTTATATCTTTCTAGGAATTTCTTTCTTTGTGATGCCACTTGTGTGGCTTTGATGGTGAATGGGACCAGCAGTCAGATCAAATGTCTGCCCCCAGGCCACTCTTCCAGCTGCAGTGGAACTGGTGTCTTTGGTTATCTGCCACCCTTCCCGTGGCAGAGGTCACTTTGGAGTGGTGCTGGTCATTATCAGGGCTTCTTGCAGAATGAGAAGTGTCAGGAACCACTTTGGAGGGACTCCTGCTGAGTGGGTGGGGCAGGTTAGATGGGATAAGTCTGCATGGGCAGAGGGTGGGTGTTAACAAAGCTGGTGGAGAGTATTTGTTCTGGTTTCCAAAGATTTCAGACTATCTAGTCTGGGGATGGAGGGAGAGAAATGATGCCTATTAACTCTTTTGTTCTTGGAGAATACTCCTAAAGATCCCTGCCCCTCCAGTGCACATTCTGAGATTAGTAAGTAAATATTCCCATAAAGCACAAGCACTTTTCAAACTTCTTCTATGTAGGATTGTTCGTAATGTGATTTCTTTAAGGGTGGTAACTCAATTTCCTATTGCCCCCTGACTTCCCAGAGCTGAAGCAATTGATCTTTGAAGTACACAAGTTAAGCCCCATTGACTGTAAAACCTGGCAAAGCTAAGCTCTACTGGTTTTCAAAGCCAAATATAAGAGGGACTTCTCTCTCAGTTCAGGTGCCCCATGTCTGGGATGCCTAGTGTGGGGGTCTTTTCCTCTCCCTTTTCCATGTTTGTGGTGTTCCTCCTTTTTGTGCTTAGAGTCCTTGGGAGTTTGGGTTTTGACCAAATCTCCCCCTCCTACCCTTTTAGAGGTGGCCTTTTCTGGGTGGTTAACTGTGAAGTTTGTTCTGCCAGTCTTTGGAAAGTTTTCTGGTTTAGTTGTACTGATACAGTTGTTATATAAGTGATAGTATCCATGGGATGAAGTGAGTTTAGGAATCTTATACTCTCCATCTTCTCAGGCTTCCCTTCCTATATCTAAATCATACATTGTACAGTAATTTTATGTTTGAATAAAAATTAGGTGAAGAATAACAAGTAAATTCCCCCTTAGAGTAGATTGTCTATAAAATATCCTTTTAGCCAAAGCTGTGTTTTAATTTACATTAAGCATCCTTTTTAAAAGTATGAATTAATACCAGCAAATAAATTCCCACCATTTGAATTGAATTACTAACTTCAACACTTTTGGATCAGAAAAAAAAAAAAATTAAAAAAAGAACAACAAAATACTAAACAGCACCTTACATAATGTACAAATCAGTAGCATAGGTATTTGCTTTTCTGTTTTTAGAAAGTGCTAAGTCTCTTGTTTTTTGAAATTTCTTATAAAAAAAATGTGTATTATCTTTTATTCAGGTCATGGTAAGTAAGATAAACAGCCTGACCTTAATAACTTTAACTCCTGTGTTAACCTTGTACGTATCTGAGAATTATAGGCACAGCTGAGTAAATTACAGGAAGAATAATTAGAAAAACAAGAACAACAGGTGACAATTTGGTCAGGCTGCCAAAACCCCACATTATTAATTTATTTATCTATCCTTTTCCATTTTACAGTTTTCCTCTTGATATTGGATACTGTGCTCATTCCCTATTGCTCATTTTAATGAATACTTAACCACATAAAATATTTGTTCATTTCAAGAGAATTCCCCCTGGTTTCAAAAAAGAATGCAGAAGCCATTTCAGAGCTTAATTAGGGAGATTTGGAACCTCTATGCTTGTTCAATCGATTTTATCACAAGTAAAAGCATTTTAACTATTCCCTTTGTCTACACAATCATTTGCAACTTAGCAAAAATATTCCATTCCTTCCACAGTAAGCTTAACCAAGCAGGACAGTCAGTTGGAGTGAGGTCAGACTGGAAAATGTTTTTAAAAGGGTTTTATAAACCCTTTAAAATTTTAAGTTAAGTTTTAATGAGCATTGCAGAAGAGTTAGATCCCCCGGGGGCAAATCAATTTTGAGTGTTACACTGCCTGTTCCTTTCAGCCTGTGAAGTACCACCTTAACTGACTTCTCCCTGGTTATGTTGAGCCAGATATTTCGGATGAAAGAATGCAAATATACAGCCTGTGAATTTCTCCCTTACCAAGAGGTCACCAAATCCTTGAGCCATTTTATTTTTTCAAGTGGTGAGAGGAATGGAATGGGTGGAACAAAGCAGTTGGCTATTTCAGCACTAAGAAAAGTGTGAGTTTTAAGGTGGGCTATGGCGTGTTTGGGAACCTGCACTGGGAAATGTTTAGCCTTTTTTCCCCCCTTTCCCTTGGGACTAGATCAGCTCTTGGGATATATTAAATTTAAAATTCAGTCTGCGACCCACTACAGTTTAATGTTACTACTGAAGGAGAAAGGAAAGCTGCCTAATGAAGTTCAGAGGCCATGTTTACTTGCAATTTTTCTCTTAGATGTGTGTTGTTTTCTGGATTTTTAGACTTTTATAATGTTGGACATGTAGGATTTTCCCCTACACAGTTACACAATTGCTTCTTCATATATTACCTCAAATAAACTGACCCTATGCATCCTCCTAAGAAGGCATTAAGCTCCAGCGTGTATTTCTCTGGAACTATTTACTACATTCTGCCATCTCCCTGCAATAAGGAAATTGTATATTAAAGATTATCTGAGCATATCATTTCCTCTGTCTAGGCTGCCATGAGGTACATCCACAGACTACTGCTCAGTATTTTGGGAGCTTACCCCTGTGAAAGAAAAATTTTAAGGCATGATAAATACATGTTCTTCACCCCATCTGTGAATAAATACTTAGCCTTCTACAAATGCTAAATAATGTACTATATTGAATGTATTCTAGAATGTGTTTTTAGAATGCACTTTATTACTACACTTACCTGTTATGTTTTCAAATTTTTGCTTAAAGGTCATCTTCTCAGTGAGACCTACATAACCATCCTATTTAAATTTGGTACATGTACCACACCCCAGTCTTTAATCTCCACTTTGCTCTGTTTTTTGTTTGTTTGCTTGTTTGTTTTCTTCATGGGATTTCTTAGCAGCTAACACACTCTTTTTTCTTGTTAGGTCTGTCTTTTACCCAAGAAAAAGACATACTGCATGAGACTCATGGGCGGGTAGTTTTGTCTGTTTTGTTCACTTACATATTCCGATGACCTAAAACAGAGCCTGGAACAAAAGGAGTGACATAAATATTATAGTGTGTAAATATATTTCATAAATATTATTAATAAATATAAAGTGAGCTCATATATTATTATATTCTTTTTTTCATAGCTGCATTTCACACATGATTTAATATTTATACCAAATCTATGAATAGCTGGTAGTCTCATTTCATTAAAGAGGAAACAGAAATTGAATTACTTGTTTGAAGTTATGTGGTTTGTAAGAGGTCAGGATGGACTTGAGGCTGATCTATATCTGACTCCAGTGTACCTATTCTTTATGCTTCCTACAAGATTTTCTTTATCTTTGATATGTCTGAAAGAAGGCCTTGAGTAATATATATGTAATCACATTAGTTTCTAGTTGGTTAGAAAGTTGCTTTTTTTCTATCTGACTTTGCTTTGGATATTTCACTTCCTCCATAGTCGAGTAAATAATCTCTGACTTTAGATAGCTCAGTTCTTCTCAAAACTAGAGTCTAATCACTGACCAGAATTTAAAGCTGAATTTAAATCTGTTGGCTCTTAGAATTTGTTTGACTCTGACCTTTATATAATCCTTAGGCTTCTGGTGCTAAGTGACACTAAGGATGACTGGCATCTTATTCTTAGAGCTATTTTGTAAACATTTCTTAGCTGCTTCATAAGAAATTGCTTGCAAGGATAAGGAGTATAGACAACAAAACCATAGCTCATTTAATGTAATTTTCCCTGGATGAATTATTTTAAATGTTTTTAGAGTGAGAGTGTAATTTCTTTTCGAAGTTTTTATTGGATTCATCTCCCAGTTTGGAAACACAAAAAAGAACACAGACTCTTTAAAATCTCATCAGCAAGGGGAAGGGAAGGATTAAAAAAAATTTTAAATGACTTTTTCAATACATTATTACATTAGACAGGATAGGTTAGATTATGCTGAGGTAACAACCTGAAAATCTAAGTGGTTTACAACAAAGCATTTCTTTTTTTCCATCCATCTCTGATCAGTTACTCTTCTGCTCTATCTTATTCACTACAGGACCAGGCTAATGGGTGAGCCTGCATCTAGAAAATTACCCCTGGCTGTTCCCGGAAGATGAAAGAAACGTGACAACTCACATGCTGGTTCTTAAAACTTTTACTCAAAAATGGCACTTCATCAGCTTAAACAAATCGCATGTTCATGCCTGAATTTAGAAGAGCAAGGATGGAACCACAGGCCACCCTTGATGGAAATGGAGAAGGGTGAGTAATAGTTTGTAAGGAAGGTGAAGAGTTATTTTAAAAACTACCAACAGGTACTTAGAAGATCTTTTAAAATTTAACTCACTAGCTTTTGAAACAAATTGTTTCTATCTCAGAATAATGTAAGAAGTTTTTTGCTTGATTTTTGCCATATCTTAGACAAGACTATATTGTGCTTACTTAACTCTCCAGTGTTACCATGCTTTCCACTGATGATCACATGAGGCAAAAACAACATTTCCTATGACATTTTTTTGGAAGTAACTGTATTTACAGTGAGCAATATAGTCTTTGTTCTGAAAATCACTCGTTTGAATGACTTCACCCTAGGCTGGCTCTCCCAGTCTTCAATTTCACCTCACGTGTTTACACATATACATTTGTTGTCATACCTCTGCCAAACTGGAATAATCTATGTCAACCATGCTATCCAAACTGTAGTGTATTTTACATAAGGAGAGCGCAGCTGGCACAGTGGATTGATTCCACACACTCTGAACATATGGCTTGGAGAAGGCCAGAGGAGCTCTGATCAGGAAACTTGATTCCAGTTAGAATAGATGTATTAAAGTCCATAGTCCTGCGAAGAAAAATATTGTTTTATAAATATAGGCTTCATTAAGCACCTGTCTGCACAATTTACTGAGGTTATTCAAGTTTAAAGTAAGAATAGCAATGAGGGATTATGCTTCAGTTTGAATATCAAAATTTATTTTGACTAAGGTCAGGACTACAAAGTGAAATGAAATATAAACCTCTCTCAGGCACCTCTTACTACTGGAAATCTGAAGGTTGACTTCAGTATCCATATGGATTTCCAAATCATTAACAGGCTAATATTTTTCCTCTTTGTCCAAAGAAACATTTAGATAGCTTTTGTCCTCTGGCCTGAGATATTCATACATTAAACATTACATTCTTATTCCAATGTATTGTGTTCCCCCTAAAATGGGGTAGAGGTAGGAGGAATAGGAATATGCTCAGTGTCTTGTGGGCTTAAGGCCTTTATTAGGCTCAGCACAGAGTAAGATGGCTGCTTGCATTACATCTTTTATCTCAGCCATGATAGGCTACTGTAAGTTATTGGGTACTTTTAAGGCAAAGTTTTTCTTCACTGTCAGATCTGGGTGTTATAGTTCTTCCAGCTGCTTCTATAGGCTTTCCAGTATTGAAAAGCCTATAGTCTTGAACTCATAGCATCCTTAGTAGAAAGCTGCTCTAAGAAGCTACTGGTCAATAACCATGTGACCCCTTTGAGAAGCAGCGAGCAATTATTTGGAGCAATAATTTGGAGGGTAGACTCTTCCCCTCTCTCCACAATCAGTTACTTTATTCATCAGTTCTATCATCTTGAGCATCTCTTGGGACACTATATTGCTGAGCATCATTCCTGCAGACAGCAGGTCCTTAGGAAGCGCTTTTTGATCTCCTAGGATTGCCTGGTAAAGTTTGATTTGGAAATACAGCATGAGATCCTTATATTCCTTTCACAGCTTATTAGTTAAAGGTGATTTCTAACACCACATTAATGTATATTGAATATTAGAGCCAAATGCTCCTTCTGTTAGTGATTCCCCTTAGAGATATGAGATCTAGAAATAAATGGTCTTGTGCATAAAACTTGGTGGGTGCTCAAAGAATGGTTCTGAGTTCCTTACAGCTTGTGAAAAGCCAACAGTGTGTCCCAGAGATTTTCCAGGTATTCCCCATTTATTTCACCACCCGTCAGTCTCCACCTTGTCCTTTGCCTCAAGAAGTTATCATTTGGAATTGCGCCAGTAGGTACACTTGCCCTCTGACTTCTGGTTTGGCCAAGTAAGGCACTGGCAGCAGAATGGAAGGTAAAGGAAAGTGAGATAGGGATTTTTCATCTCATGGCTCCCACTCTACTCCATTTTTTTTCTTTTTAATAGTGATTTTAAATCACTGAAGGATGCTCCTTCAGTCCTAAAGGATCAATACCTCTCCATGTCCCAAGTCCTGGTATTCTGAACCATTCCTTCTGGTTTACTTTAAAACTACCCACACATCTGTAAATAGTCCCTTGGGTAAATTCTCCTCCATAAACCCTTTTGATACACCTCTTTCCTTCCATGGCTTTGGCTAATACAAAAGCATTTTGTACTCAAATGGTTACAATTGTGAATAACTGATCCAACCAATTATGAATGACCACTGTGTATGGGTCATTGCTAAAATGTTATTTTCTACATCTTGTGGATGCTGTTAATGCTGTTTAAGTATACCTCACCAAATTTTATTTTATCTTTGCGTTCTTAGCTTCCTGAGATAAAATATCTCCCTTCTCTTACTATATAGTCTTCCAGTTTTGATCCTATATGTTCCTAGATTTGGAATCCAATTAATCTTCTATACAGATTGAGCAGATGTTAACTCTTTGTTTTCAGGAGAGTTTGGGAAAAGTGATTAGAGTGTGAGAAGAGTGAGCTAGTTCTCGGATTGATTTTCTAACTCTTGTGTAAGACTTTTAACATCTCTAGATTTCAGTTTCCACTTATGTGAAGTGAGAGAGCTGGGCCAAACAAGTGCTTTTTTCCATGACTACAGTTTTAGTCTTTTATTAAGCCTCATTTGTATGCTAGGCACTCAGAAGACTGCTGATGGTCTATTAAAAAGCTAGAGGAACTTAATGGAGAATGACTCTAGGAAGTGCCATTTTGCTCCTAATTTATTTTCCCTGATTCTAGTATTTCCTAACTCGGGATCTGTCAATTTTTAGAAGGTCCATGGATAGTCTTTAGGTAAGGTGGATAGTCCCTTGAAATTATAGGTTAAAAAATGGTGTCCATGCATGTTTTTTCTGGGATGAGTTGTCCACCTTTGACCAGATTCTCAAAGGACTAATGACTTCCTTTCCTCACCCCTACTCCTTTGAAGAGATGAGCATGTTAAAGTTCCAGGCTGCCAAATACATAATTTATGTATCACCTATGGCCCCCATAAATGCATTTATCATGTATTGTGAGCCATCTACTTTTCACAGGTTTTCACATTTCTTGAGGATCTACTGATGGATTTTCAGATCAACTTTTGACTCATAGATATGAGAAATAGGCTTTTTGTCTATGTGACTTTCTTTTTAGCTATAGACAGCAGAAATATTCAAAGACTCTGTTAGGATAAAGAGAAGAAGCAGATTTCTCTCACAGAGAAAATCAGATTAGGATACTTTATTTTAAAATAAAGTGTGTATGTTCTGTTTCTTACTGTGTTTTTCTTTCTCTGAAGTGTTACAGAATTCTCATTGAAGTTTCTGTCTTTATTACACTGCTCTATCAAGCCTTTGTTTTTTCTTTCATTGATTTTTTCCTCCTGTTCTCCTTATAAAAGGCATCAGGTCACATATACATGATAGTAAATAAAGTAACAGATCAGTATTTTCATACAGAATGAAACCCTGGAGGAGACAAAATTTCATTGCCTATAGGTAACATTTCTGCTTTCAAAATATCTCCTTCTCTCTTCTATATGTTTCAATCCAGTTTACATCCTCAGTATTTACCCAAAACCCTTTAATTAGTTTAACCAATGATTGTGTATGTATGTATGTATGCATGTATCTATCTATCTATCTCCTTATTGATCTACCTGATCATCCACTTTTTAAATATTTCTACCATTTACTTTTCTATCATCTATTTTCCTATCTCTATCAATGCTTACATAGAATTTTGAGACATTGTTTTAAGTACTTTATGAGAATTAACTCGTACTTTATAAAAAATACCTTATTTTATCCTCAAAACCTGTGATTCTCAAATTTTTTCATCAGAGACCATTTATACTCTTAAAATTAATAAGCTCTCTAGGGTTTTTGTTTATGTAGGCTTTCTCTATTGATGTTTTTCATATTTTAAAATAAAATTGAGAAAACTTTCATATATATGTATTAATTAATTTAACAACAGTGATAAAACCATTGCAAGCTAACATAAATAACATTTTTATGAAGAATAAAAATATTTCCAATACAAAAACTATGTAGTGAAAAGAGTAGCACTGTCTGATATTCTTCTAATCTTTTTAATGCCTAGTTTAATAAAAGACAACTAGATTCTCATATCACCTTTGCATCCAGTCTGTTGTTCTGTGATGTTTTATAGGAAGCATAAGAAGAAATTCTAGCCTTATTTAAATATCTAGTTGGAAAATGCAGGACTGTTTTAATAACCTAAAAGTTATTTCAATGTTGAGTTCAAAATCATGTCAATAAGTTTTTGATAGTCTGTTACATTTGAATACACTGGGGTATTTTTCACATTGAATAGATATTTTTACCCATGTAGAATTTTGGAACAACATGCATTAGTCATTTGGCAAATTTTGATTCACAAATACATGCAAATCTTAGCAGTATTTACACATTTAGTTATATAATCTGAAAGATCAAAAAGAAAATTAATACTTTTTAATAGTTTGTCAATAACATTATTAAAAGGAATTGGCTTTTATTTTTTTTTTTTAACTGCAAGTGGGTTGTGGAGAAGAAAAGAATCATAATAATACATTTTTGTGCTATTGCCTCGGTTTGTACAAGTCAATACAGTGAAAGAATCAACACATGAAAGTGGTTTTAATCTCACAAGTCTCCTGAAAGGGTCCCTAGAATCCCCCTCATGTCCACAGAGCACACTTTGATAAGCACTACTCAAAACATCCTTTTGAGTAAGGTTATCATTACTTCCATTTTACAAATGAAAAAAACTGAGGCAAAGAGAGTTTATGTGGCTTACTCTAGGACCAAGTAGTAAATGAAGGGGAGGGGATTCTAACTGGAATAACCTGCTACCAATCCATCCATGCCTTTACCCTCCATTTTGATATGCAATAACAGTTTTCAGACCTCACCTTATTTGACCTATGCCATTTTTCATTACTGTTGTTTCCTCTCTCAACTACTTTCTTCCCCTTCCACAGCATCACCCTCTCTTACTCTCACTGGTTGATTCAGGGAACTTGTTTATAGCCTCTGTAGTTTC